TAAAATATTAACATAGGAATTAAAAATCCTCAGATTCTTAACCACAACGCAACATTCCTAGTATTGAAGACTTGTTTCTCACTTACTGGTTGTGATTTCAGCATAAATACCTTCCAGTAACCTTCCTGTCTTTAAAATAATGATAACCCTTATCCCCTAAGTCTATTTGTGTATTTAATACATTTAACTTCCTGTGATGGGGTGGAGATGATGCATACCCAAAGAGAGTGAGGATGTCGCAAGAACCTCAGCATCAGACTGGACAGTGTTACTATTTGTGACAAGTGAGAAAATAGTATAGGAATTAGTATGTTCATCCTAAAATGATGAAGACTTTATCCTGACTGGTCTCTTAGATTCAGACACAGAAAACTCATATTTGCACGGTCAAAAAGAATTCCTTGTACAAAACTACAGATTTGCTGCCTGCTTTTAATACAGTAGAATTAGAAAAATTAGTATTTCTGGTGTCGCTATTACTTGATTTTAAAGTATATTAACTCACAGAAAGTGTCCTCTATATGCAGCTCTGTGGATTGGCAAATGACCCGAGTGCTTTGGTACATTGGCATCAGCCCCATATTCTAGTAAAAGACTCAGAGAATCTGGATTTCCTCCTCCTGCTGCTTCAAATAATACAGAAGCACAATCCGTTGCCTGGGAATTAACATCCGCACCTGGAAAGAAGCACCAAGGATTTTCACAGTAGTCACTGTAAATATCCAGCAGCAATTAATATCTCCAGTCCTCCAGTGACATAGTATTATTGTAAATTCTATTCTTCACCAAATAAAACCACTATGGGCATAAACCTTCATGTTGGAGCCTTGATTTTAGATGTGTTTATGTAATCCTGGGAACAAGAAGGTCCAAATTGCTTTGAATACAATTACACAGTAAGTCTTGCTGCTAGAACTGGGCAAGCAAAGGCTTTGGTTCTTATTCATACAAACAATTGGGTTTTGGCTTACATACAATGCATATCAATTCTTCTACTTTACGAAGTCCAGACAGATATAACTGTAAATATGGGAAAACCCAGTATGAAAACAGTTCATACAATCCAGTTCCATATAAAGTTCGGCACCATAAATACCCTGTCAGGCCTTCCCTAAGGTAGCCTGTCTACATGAGAAAACAATATTGCATTTAAAAACAATTGCAACTGCTCATTAAAATATTAATATTATTTGAATATTATGAAAACGTAGTCTTTATCAGGCCTTTACATCATAACAATCCTCTTGGTGCAGACAGCATTTGATTTTCTTTAGTAAGGAAAGTTACTTCTGCTGCTATTTCTGAAGGCGTATCTTAAAATAACCAGTTTTAATCCAATCACAGAACTTTTAGACGACTAATAAAAATGTGTGTAAATAGGCTAACTACTTTAGAGGGAATACATATATATGTGTGTGTGTGTATGTATGTATACATACACACGTCTCTCTCTCTTATAACGTGACATTTAGATACTAGGAATTCTTTGGATGGACCTCAAGTGATTTGGGAATAAAATTCTTCAAACAAATTAAGCAAAATTCCAAAAATGCAAACAAAATATCTCCTGCATTGTGTCAGATTTGCTTGCAGTTTTGCAAAGCATTCACTGATGACTACTACAGTTTGCTATAAGTAAGTAATCTCTAAAAATCCATTTTGTATATGTTTGGATCCATTTACACTGCAGGCTGTATACTCAGTAACATGGTAACAGTTCATTGCCTTTCACTTCAGTAATGCAAAGTTTTACTGGCTACTCAGCTAAGAACCATTTTTTGCTGCTGCATTTAGGAATAACTTTCTCTGTTGGAAGGAGGATTCACTTTGTCCCATTTGGGCTTTAAACAATTCAGTACTAACACACGTGGCTTACAATTTCTACCTAGAAGAACACCACCAGTGAACCTCTACATGTTACTAAATCAACCTACTGAGTCGTAAAACAGAACCACTGAATAGCTAAGGTTGGAAAGGACCTCTGGAGATCATCCAGTCCAACCCTGTGCTCAAGCAGTGTCACCTACAGCAGGTTGCCCAGGTCAACATCCAGTCAGGTTTTTAGTAAGGATGGAGACTCCACAACTTCTCTGAGTGACTTGTTCCAATGTTCAACCACCCTCACAGAAAAAAGTGTTTTCTTATGTTCAGACAGAATTTCCTCGGTTGCAATTGGTGCCCATTGCCTCTTGTCCTGTTATTGGACATACTGAGAATCTGGCTCTGGCTCTTTACACCATCCCATCAGATATTTATAACACTGGCAAGATAGACCCCCAACCCAAGCCTTCTCTTCCTATAACATCCTATATAATAGAGTCTCACCTTTTTGTAGTAAGAGCTCCATAATTTCTGTATGTCCGACCTGTGCAGCTAGTGCTAGAGGTGTGAGCCCATATCCACTGCGAGGGTCAGGATCTGCTCCAGAACGAAGGAGAAGCTTTACCAGATCCTTCCTGCCTAGCCTGGCTGCCTCATGTAAAGCAGTCCTCTTGTGGACACACTGCAAATTCACTTTTGCACCAGAACTTATCAACAAGGAGGCAATCTCATACGAATCATGTTTAATTGCTGTAAGACAATAAGCAAAGTATCAGCCAGAATGTTATTCAACACTATTCTATGCACTGTGGCTTCTGTTATGTGGCAGCGCAGGAAAGCTCAAGCTGCTCCTGGCAGTGCTATTTATACAGTGAGAAGTGTCACACTACACTGAAAGGTTTAACTTATCAACAAGGCTGTTCTTTGTTTCCAGGACAACATTAACTCTACAAAGGAATAATTTTATGGTAATCTCTTTTTCTCTCTGTAATCCTCTGTTGCGTTTGACAATGCAACTTTCCTTGCCACTAGATGGAGATCATATACAGGGACTTGGTGCGCTCAGGAGCTGGCCTGCTCAGAGAGCTCTATTTCATCTCCATAAGCAATTACTGTAATATGAAACAAAGTTTAAAATAACAGTGTCATATGCCTTCTTAGCTTAATAAGCCTGATCTGTTAAGTCAGTAAGGATCTTGAAAGAGTAATTTGCATTGGCTCCAGGGGATGGAATGAATAAGCAACACCTTTCCTTCCTTCTCTCTTTGATCTTACAGGCTGTGCGGGTTAGAACAGCGAGTTCACCAAGACAGATTAGGCGGAGAAGCTTCATGTGTCACAGCTGCCTGGAATACCATTGACAGCAAACTATAACCTGTGATGTCCCATTATCTGTAACCTATGTGGCTGCTTTAGATAAATCCCATACATGCCCTTCTTAGGAGATGGTGCATTTTAATATAGCACACTTCAAAAGCATCTAGGAATTCTTTGCAACTGAGGGATGGAAAATGGTAGGCATCTGGAGCTCCCTGCATTGAATCAGACTTTGGGGAAAGATTTTAGCTTCTCCTAGTCCTATGTTTCCCATACTTCAGTAGACCAATAAGGATAATATTTGTAATTACTGCTAAGAACTTTGTGATGACAGTCCCTTGGACTTGTCAGCTCATTTAAAGCCTTGACATCATCTAAGAAAAACCGACAGGGACAGACATATTCAATACTGAGATTAACATTTTTTGCTCCTTACAGCAAAATACTTTAGATCTTGATTTGAAGTCAAATATGTCAAATTGAAACCTAAAATGTGTAACTGTAATCTCACCTCATTCCCTGACCTCTCCACCCCTAAATAAGGTATTCACCTATAAATAAAGGAGAATCTCCCTCTTCATTCTTAACATCGGGATTGCACCCATTGAGCAGGAGAAAGCGGACATTGTCTACAAAGCAATTTCTTACTGCCACCAAGAGAGGTGTTTCCCCTTTTAGAGTGGTCTGTTCCCACATAATGGCACGGGAGGCTGAAATACAGAAAAGCAGAACACATTTGAAGCTGGATGATTCATCAAACCTGACTTTGTAAAACTTCTTGGTGGTAAACCAGGAGGACTCTGTACCTTTCAAAGTTATTTCAAGGATGTTCTTATTTCGCTGTGCTGCAGCTTCATGCACAGGAAGCCAGCCTTGCTGATCTGCTTCTTCAAAAGCAGAACTGTGCCTCACCAACTTCTTCAAGGCCTCTTCTTGGCCTGTGATATTTTAAGACAGACACATATCCCATTACTCATCATAAAACAAAATTCGGGCAACTAATATATTGAGTGCCATTTATCCCATCAGTGTATCTAGAATAAACAACTGGCTTTGTCAAAGTAATTTTTTCTCAAAGGATGGTTTACATGAATGGAACAATCAATGATTGACATTGATTCACAAAGCATTTCAAATTATGCATTGAAAAACTTACTTATAACAGTATGACTGAAATGTTTCAAATACAATCCTCTCATGAGCAATAGTGCATGAAAGTTTAATATATAAACAGGTGTCCTAGTGAAACTGTAAGAAAAAATATTTAGGTTGGCAAAAGTAAAATGAAGCTGATTTAACAGGGATGAGAATTATCTCATTATTCCTGCTTTTACTAACAATCTTACTGGATCTTGAATCAATACAAGTGATTATATTTTCAATTTTATATCTCATCAAGAAACAGGAAAACTTTCTTGGCTGGAAAGCCTGTTTAAGTAGAGGCCTGGCTTCTGCTCTTGTTTTTCATCCCATCATTCCTGGGAGAAGGCAGTCTGCCATTCTATTAGGTACAACTATAGGGTGAGGGGACAGACTGCTCTCAATTTCTGCTGCTGAAGTTCTCCTACACATGGAAGAATTATATATTCATAAGGCCAGACAGCAAGTGTAACTAGAGTTGAGACACATTCTTCATCATGTATGAAACATTTATAGCATTTGCTTTTCAAGAAAAAAGTTTGGTTTCTTGATTCCTACTCCACTAAATATCGCTACAACTCCTATGATGCATGGAAAGACTGGACTGAAGGTTTCCCACTGCCAGAAAACTGTCCAAACAACTGTACTACTTATGCTCATTGTTTAGTCATCTCTGTGACTCAGTATATAAATTCATTATACCACAAAACAGGCATTTCAGAGGAGCAGACTAAGAGCAGCTCATATTGGAATACACTAAGGTTTGGCAGTTAAGGAACAATTCTGGAACGCTCTTCAGGTAGAGAGGGGTTTTTAATCTGGGTATCTCACAAAGTGGCAAATGCTTTTAGGAGGTGTGAATTGACCAGGGGCCTTGCCATCCTGCTGCTTATTTTACAGGAAAAGTCTGGCATTTTCCCCTAACTCCAGGAGAGGAAGCACTGGAATCTCTGAGAGGAGTGTCATTTGAACCCATCTCATGACCATGTTCCTATCTAGTAAGTCAGATTTTAGGTGTCCCGCTTTCAGTTGCCTTACTCCTCCCAAGACTATATAAAGAAAAACTGCACTTAAATCAGGTGATCAAACACCTAAAATGTAGGCATTGCTCAACAACACAATATCCAAGTGATTCTTAGGGGTATAGCCTTAATGTGGTGTATTTGTACTTAACTGTCCGAATTGCTGCAATTATCTTTTCATGTTCTTTACTTGCAATAAACTGGAAACTGCATAAACAGAACAAAAATAAAGCGAGAAGTAAAAATCAATGTGAAATTCAGGATATAATAATACTCTAATTTAAATACTCGAGTCTAGACTACATGTTAGATTTCTGTAAGTTACATAGGTTTTGTCAGGGTTTAACACATTAAAACACTTTTTTTGTTGGTCTTCCCCTGCCACTATAAACATTGGATTTTTCACACAAAGGCCAACAATTAAATACTAAAATGAAGGAAAACTACCATACCAATCTATTTTTACATCACATACTTATCTTCTTCATAAAGCCTCATACTCATTTAAATACGGATGTAAAACATCACCTGAAAGTTTCATACACTCCATATTTTTGAGGAAATGGGCATACTTTCTCAGGGAGAACTCAGAAAAAGCAAGCTACCAGTGGTTTCCATTATCCCTGAGACAAGGTCAGACCAATAGAACATATGGAGTCACAAAGGAAAATAAGGTTACTACATGCTTATAATAATGTCAAGAAAATACCCAAAATAGAAGTAATAACTGATTACCTTTCATCCTCTGTTGCACTGCCACTTTTTTCAATTTTATGCCTATCCTGTAAGCTTTCTTGAATAGCTTGCTGCGTAGGGATTTCATCATCAGAATCATCATCAAACATGTATGTAGAATTATGCATGGCAAATCAGCATGACCTGGATCACTTTTCGTAGGGAAATACTGCTTTTTAGTTGGAAGCAGATGTTAAATCTTTAGGTTAAATCTGGAGTAATAGAAATAGCAATCACTGTTTAAGTATCAAAAGAAATGAAATACAGTTTAAACTAAATGTATCAGAACTTCTCCATGTCAAGCTCCAGCCTTCTCTCAAGTGTTTAAGTTTGTGCTGCAAAGAGTTATTCTATTTAGAACAGAGTAAAAGTTTTCTATCCCAATACCATCTGCTAGCTTTTATCTCTGTTCCACAGACCGAACATATAGAATAGCTACTTGTTCTGGCATTACTTATTAGAAAGCAACAAAAATAAGTAAATCTTAGTTTTCAGATAAATAGTCGTTCCCTCTTAAGTCTTCTAGACACTCAAATATCATCACAATTGTGCTCTGATGTTTCCTTAGTAGGAAAACAGATGTGCATTCAGATTCAGGATTTTTTTTCAGTTTGTTCACAGGTGGCCTGGAAGCCAAGGGCAAGTGAAGGACATGAAATTTTTTAATAATAGCTTTTGTTCAAACTGTTTCAACAAAGATGTCATTAAGTCCATATCTTGTAGTCAGGAAAGTATTGCAGATTTGTGCTATTATGTGCATCAGCCTTCAGTTTCCAACTGAAACAACATCAAACTCCATGCTTGAAAAAAGACCAACTTTACCACCTCATGTACATAATCTATAGCCATTTAGAACAGATAAAATTCTGCATTCTTCATCAATTCATGCCTGTTTTTTTCTAATACTTGTAAGGGATATATCTAAAATACAGCAACAATATATATCCAAATACAGGCAGAAATAAAACACACTGCTGTAACCACAATGGAGTTAATATATCTTAAAAAAAAAAGCTTAAGAATAGCATTAGTTTAAAAAAAAAAAAAAGTTTACCAAATTTAAAGGGTTCAATTAAAAGTATTTTTACCCTTTTAGGATTGTAATACAAACAATGGAGTATGGAAATAAATCCCACTGAAAATATCTGTTAAGTTTAAATGTTAAAATTTAAGAAGAAATCATAAAAAATTATTAATGATCAAATCAATCATTAAATAGTATAATGCATGTAGATGTACACTGTTATATGCATAAACAGTTACACTATTTTTTTGTATATTCAGCTACATGCTATTATAGATTAAAATCACGGATGTTCTGTTAGGTTCAAGCCTTTTATCTGTTTTACCTTATCAAAACTTCCACTTCCATCTTTCAAGAGAGTTGGCCTGGAAAAAACAACCAAAAATACAGGGGAAAAGTAAAGTAAAGGTAATACATAAAACTGAAAGCAGATAAATAAAATAGGAAAATGGATGAGCAGAGAAAAATTAAGGAAGTTGTCAACATGACACTTACAAAGTTTGGAATAATTCTAGAAACATCTTAAAGTTGAGTACCAGTAATTCACAGCAAACCTGCATCATTTAATTTGTTACCTGGTCCACCTAATGTGTGATTGCAAGGCCTTGCTCATGTAGCAAAAAAAAGAAATATATTAACAAAATATACATATACAGACAAGTAACTGTTAGTATTCCATTATACTTATAGTACAATGAGTATATAAACATTTTAAATATAGATTATTTCTTTTTTGTAAAAAGACTACTAAATTTCCTATGAGAAAATATACTGTTTTTCCTCACCTTCTGAAAGAGGGAAGACCTCACACTTTGAAGAAGTGATTATTAAGTTGAAAGTGATATTTTCAGGATTGAAAATGATCTCAGCAGAGCCTATGTCCATTAATAGCTCACTATAAATACCCGATCATAAGATACTCTGGGACTTTCTCCATGTTTCTTTCATATAGGTTAGTTATATTTAATAATCTGACATGACAAATGGTGTCAGCAAAAGAAGGAATTAAAAGTCCAGTTTCTTTGTAAAAATATTTGTATTAAAAGTTTTTGGATTGAGAATTTGAGAATTATAAGTAGTAACTGTTACCTTATGGAAAGAAAATTCTTTCATGCTTTCCTAAGGAGCTTACTTAAAAGAGTGAGATAGCATAAAAAGAAAAACTAAAACCAATAAAAGTAAACATAAACAAGCAAATAAAATCAAACAAGAATGCTATTAAAAATTACTATGTGTTTCTGAATGCTTAATCACAATTCACATATTAATATAAATAGAAAGACAAACAAAAGATAAATATATAGAGTCCTTAAAGGGAAAAGCACAGTTTCAGAAAGACAGACCTATACTGAAAACTTATGCTAGTGTAACACACAATAAGCAGGGAAATGGAGGACATAGACACCTAGTTATAATAGTAATAGTAGGATGAAGTGAGAGTTTCATGTGCTTAATTTACTCCTACTGCATTTGACGGAAGGATCCTTACAAAGAAACAATGATGGCTGTGTCTGAATGCAAGGTGGAAATAGTTCTTCGCTAGAGGAGATCTAGTAAGAAAGCTTGAGTAATATTTTTTAAAAAGAGAAAACAAAAGTGCAGAATTGGTGAAGGAGCTGAGATTGGAGAGCCTCGCTGGAGCAACAGGGAAACAGATAACATTTTATAGCAGGTGGTCATAGGAGAAATTTTACAATTTATTCTTCACAGAAAATATTTAGACAAAAAACCTTACCAAAAATTCAGAATATCTGAATGAAATCCTGAAAAGATTAATTTGTTGAGGAAGGAAGGCACCAGAAGTACCTGCTATAGATAGTTAAATGATTTCTCATACTGCAGTCTCGACTGC